CCTGGAAGACATATATACATGAAGTAATGGAGGAGAAAGGATTGGAAGAGGGTCAATGGGAGGACCAAAAATTATGGAAATCAAAAACGACATACTCTAAGGGATAGACACCGTCAAAGAAGAAGACTATGAAGATATCATTGGATTATAAAACGTTGGCAGTAATATTCTAGAGAATTAAATGTGAAGAGCAACAACGCTATTCAAAGTAAAATTGTATATTGCTCCTGAATCTGCAAAATGTCGTAACCAACGAGAATTAACATTTTACAGAAGAGCTAAAAAACTGGAAAGGTGTATGTCGTTAGTTTCATACTTTATCATTACAATGAATAGAATTTTATATTTTTTAATTGTCTTTAAAATATGTAATATACAACATTTTGTATTTACATCTGTTTTGATAAAAGAAAGAAAAAGTTGTTTTGGAGAAAAATATCAATTGTAACAAAACTGTGATAATTGTTTTAATTAATTAAATTTCTAGATATTAAAAAAGGTGTCTTGAAAATGAACCATAAAGAACGAGATGGACAATTTTTCATATAAAACAGAGTACATGTACTTCGATTAAAACATAATGTGTCTGTTTACACTGCGTCAGCTATGATGCCATCATCCAATCGGGAGCTTGAACATCACTGCAGTGACGTTCGTGCTTCCGATTAGATGACAACATTACAGCTGATGGAAGTATTAATTGACCTAGTGTTTCAATTGAAGCATAATGATCAATTTTTGATTGCTAATGCTCTATTTAGAAATGTTATTTTTGTATTGTGAAAATGACATGTTTGTTTCTAACTAACATTATAAAAATTAATTAACAAAAAAAAACAAAAACTTGGGATTTTATAGGAGATAGATGCCTAGAATTGTTTATTTAATTCCATATTTTTTTTATTTTTTTCCCTCCTCCAATTGATCATCCCTTTCCTTTTGTGTGTCTAGTTGTTAATGGATCAAAAATATCAAACTACTTTCAACTTTTTATTTGTTATGTAACTTTTATCAGAAATCATTGAGCAATTGTTCTGTTAGATATTTGTTTATTTATCTGTGTCGGGTACAGTTTATGAACAACTCTTTGTATTTTTCTTTATTTTTTCTGTCTTTCTTTTTTTTTTTTTTTTTTTTTTATTGTTGTAGGCTTTTGAACTTGCAACTGGTGATTACCTTTTTGAACCTCATTCAGGAGATGACTATTCTCGAGATGAAGATCATTTAGCTCATATTATCGAACTGTTGGGGAATATTCCCAAACACATTACATTCTCGGGAAAATATTCAAGAGAGTTCTTCACAAAGAAAGGTGAGTGTTCTCTGAATAATATATTACATTATTTGCTTGTTTTGTGCTCAGAATGGAAAATACAGCTTGAAGTAAATATTGTAAGCATGCTGTCATTATTGTTCAATGTGAGTAAATGTGTATTATCTTAAAGTAAATTAATTTTTTTAAAATCTTATTTATTGTTAATTTTAGTAGAATGAATTATGCTCTCATTTGTTTTGAAATTGTTAACAATGTAAATACTCTAGGAAACTACTAAGTTCAATACAGTATCTTTACTGTGGTCAACTGTGTTTATAGTTTTTAATTAGGTTCATTATTTTGTGAACATTTTCAAGAGATTGAATAAGTCTGAGATTGTTCCAAAATCATTTAATGCAAATAGTTGCTATAAAGTATTTGACCACTGATATAATAGTCTTCAAAATAGACTGGAACTGTCAATTGTTAATAGGTAATATTCACATTATTGGGGTATTATTATAAAGTCTCTCATCCAACATTTTGACCACAATAATTTAGAACCTTTATGCAATATGTGAAATAAAGCAAAAATTGACAGTGACAGTCGCTTATTTCTTTTTAAGCTGCAGTTTAAACTTACATTGCGAAATGTTTTGTGTTAGTGTTTTTGATTCTTTGTTTGGAAAGAATTTGAGAAAATGAAAGCAGCACTAAAATATTGTAGGCTTAATGAATTTATGCCACTGTTCTTTGCAGGGGAGTTACGGCATATCACAAAATTAAAACCCTGGGGGCTTGTGGAGGTCCTCACAGAGAAATACGAATGGGACCATAAGGAAGCGAAGGCCTTTGCTGATTTCCTCAACCCAATGCTCGCATTTGATCCTAATGAGAGGGCAACTGCAGCCGAATGTTTAAAACATCAATGGCTTAATTCATGAGGCATAATTTACTCCGTCCATCATCTTTTTTTATAAATATATATATATATTGTATTTTGTTGAGCCCAAAGTTGACAAATTCCAATTTAGTCTGATTTTAACGTGTTTCCATTCGTTTGTTCTCCAGCTTTCTACATAATTCTATTTTTAATTGTCATGTTTCAGTAAGTCTTTTTTGGTAAAAGTGAATAAACAGTGGACAGTACAATATTTTTTAATTATGAACTTCCCAACTTTGATTATCTCATTGATGTTAGATGATCTTGTCAGCGATGCCTTGTGGATGAACAGTTGATAATACTGTGCTAAAGAAAACAAATGTTAAAATGTTATTTTTGTAGTAAGTTTAATACTAAGGGACCTAAATGGAAAGCAATACTCCAAAACCTGGCAGATAATATTATGCGGTATGGAAGTAGATTTATTGTCATTTATTTCGAAATGTAGGTGATTGTGTTCCATATCACACATTATCGTTACAGAATTTGTTAGTAAATTAAAGTTCTATATCGCAAAAGTTTTTTAAATATCATTTGCTTTTCAGAGAAAGGTGCATGTATTATTGTAATGTTCAGTGAACCCAGACTTCATAAAATTAGAATTATTTCATTTCCTGATAATCTGAGTGCAGTAAAACCTAGTTCATTCAGAATCTTCCAAAATTTTCATGGAATTGAAGTTGATCATCCTCCTTTCCATAACTGATTTGGCTATGAAAACTGTTTTAATGTAAATGAAGAGAAGAGTATTGTGATTCTGGCTATTTGAATGTTGTTTGCATGTTTATTGTCCCATGCGTCATCCTTCATTATAAGCCAGTGGTGTTAATGCCTTGCACATACTTTGTCAATGGTTAAGTTTTTTTTAGGAAAATGAGGTCACCCTTGTGAACGACAGATTTTGCCCTATTGGTACATCTGTTAGCATAGAGATTTTAGAAGTTAGTTTGTAGTGAGTTTGCTTTGGAAGTCAATGGAGAGTTTGTTAGCAACACTTATTCTAAATGCATTGTTAAAACATCAGTCCAGTCCATGTAACAAAACTCAGACCTCTCCTTTGCTCAAGAAGGAAATTGCATTGGAGAGTTTAGGAGCCATCTTGTGAAAATGCAACCATTGAGTTAGATAATATTGTCATTTGACTGTGCATGCCTTGTAAACTTTCTGTGATGAGTGTTTTAATTTTAAAAATGCCATATATTCATTTAAATTTTGATGTTGGCTTGGCCTCTCCCTGAGTGATGCTTGTTTGTAAAAAAGTGGTGCATGTGTTGAAAGTGCAAGTGGAGGTCCAAGATGAAGGTGTCACCAGTGCTTCTTAGGAAAGAAGTAATGAAATGATGCACATGGAGATCTCTTGTGTGACCTGCTCCTTTCACACGGTCATCAAGAAAGTGCCTCGCTCTTCTCTCTTCCCATTTAGTTGTGCTATTTCAGTGTGCTTGCTTCTATGTTCTATGCATTCATGGGCTCTAAAATTGTACCAAGATGTGTTATTGTGTTGATGTTTTGTATGTCTGTATTGGTCATTCTCAGTGCTGTATTTCAGCCCCTTTTGTGACTGGCATGTGGAATCGTACATGGGGAAAGGAATTTGATGTAAATCTGTGCATTTTATCATTTAATATATACCTGATATAAAGTATTTTTCATGAAGTGAGCTACTTACGCTTTGTGATGTCTCTTTCCCCAGTGCAAATACAGTCTGTGAGAGCTTATCATTGAAATAAGAACAGCCAAATAGGAGAGTGTTATGTTATGTTTGAAATACTTTGTATGGATTGAATATAAATCGTGAACATCTGTTGAAGGTGGTAATCAATAAAGCTCTGCATTAGTTAATACCTTCAGGGGTTTATGGAGAAACAAGTAGTTTTTTTGATGGAATTTTGTCAGTATGTACAATAGGTACAAAGCTGAATGATTACAAAATTGCCACTTAAAATTTCTGAAATTTTTGGGTAGTTCGAAATTCTTTGAATTACGGTTGTGAGGAGCAGGGGCACCCAGAGAAAGCAAACGGGCACTAAGATCCATGGAGGCCCATTATTTCAGACAAAAAATACCTACCCCCTTCCCATTATGTAAACAGAATTCATTTTGTCATGCAGTAGAAATAACTTTTAGCAGTTAATTTGATTTGGAAGTAAATTCATTTTCTGTTTTGAATGAAAATAGTTTGCAGGGCCACAATTGAGCTGCTGGGGCTCAAGTTGCCCCAGTTACTCCCCCTTCTAGGTGCCTCTGGCGAGGAGTGTATTTTGTTCATTGATGTCAGTCAGTTCCTAGATGGGAAACTTCTCAGGATATGTAAACATACTTTATACATGTGTGCATGAATGTGAGTGTGTATAAGCATTATGTGTGTGTGTGTAAAATGGTGTGCATTTTAACGTAATATGCTTAATTTATTTAGTTGAATTAACATCACCATAATACTGACTGATTGAATTAACATACCATAAGATAATACAATAGCTAAATGGATGGGCATTATTAGTGAGCTTTCCAAAAATATATTCAGAAACACCTGTTGTAGATTGTCAGTGGTACATGAAATATTAATAATACAATAAATTCTTTGTCAGTTTGTGTGCTAATATTTCATGCCCATCAGGAGTAATGTATGTGGATTTCTGTGTCAGAAAGATGATCTTTTAGAAAAGTTTGAGTGTAAAATTTTGTTAATTATCCATTTCATTTGTTGAAGCAAAAAACTGCCTCAGAGCGACACTCCTAAAATCTTAATTTTGGTGTCCTATCATTCTTAACTTATCTGTTTGTATTAGATTTATAATTAATTACAACAATGGTTGATTTGATTGTTTGGAATATATGGAAAAATATGAATTTCAGAACTATTAATATATTTGATTATTTGGTTACGTAAACAAATTATTTAAGAAAAGAATAAATAGTGTATAATTAATTAGAATAATAGTTGATATGCACAAAATACCTGCTTTGATTCTAATGGGAGAGAGAGAATTATTTACTTTTTTGTGAAAATTGTTAATTAAGCATTACAAATGAAACTCATTTACTCAACTGTTACAAATTACTCATTTTTGAACTGGTATTTTAAAACATTCAGTTACCTAATATTTTCTGGAATAAAGTCAGGGAAAGGTTTAGAGAACATATATGTGGAACAAGACTCATTACATTCAACCTTCATTATAAAGAGACTGATAAAAGAATTAAATCATTTCCACACTTGTAAATTACTTTGATATCTCTAAAAGGACTGATTTTCTTCGTGCATTCTCTTCTGAAGTAATCTTTATTGATATTCTTATGGTGCTTTGTAAGCAATGCATAGCAAACTGACAAGGAATAGGAATTTTTTTTTACTAGAAATTTTGTGATCTCAAGCAACTTATACATTCCTTTTCTTCTCGAAAATTTTGAATTAACTAGGTTTTACTGCATGAAACGTTGAGAGGTACTCTTAAACAATCTTGTTCTATTACAATCTTGTCCTTATCCACAATCAGTACTTCAAGAGGATGTTGCTCAGATTCATTATGTAAGATGATGTATGATTGATTCTTACAGTGTTAGTAATGAAAATAAGTGAGAACAGTAATGCACATTGATTTTTCTTTCCTGTGTTTTGTTCATGTTCTGTTTGTACATGCCAATTGTACAACATAGTTAAGTCAGTGAAGGCTGGTGTTCAGTAATAAATTTTATGAAGAAAATTGAAGTTTTAATTTTATTTTGTGTGAATCATCTTCCCTTTGGCATTTCTTCTTTTTTCTCAGAAAGGCTATATATTCTAGAGAAAAGAAAATTCATGTCGATTAAAATAAATTCTTAAGCTTTATCACCCTCCAGAAGTATACAATTTTGACATAAGTGTATCCATGCTATGCATTTCTGATATTTGGGAATGAGGTAGTTCCATAAAGGCCTCTTCATTTGTTATTTTCTGAAACTTACAGAAATTCAATTTTTTTTTTTTTTTTTTTTTTTTTTTTTTTTTTTTTTTTTTTTTTAAATATTGATTTTCAAGTAATGCTCTAAAATTTCTTTCAGGTCAGTGGACTATCAATAAATATTCTACAATTTTAATTATTCATATCAAAAATGTAATAGTAGTTTGTGAATACTAACTTATAGAGTTAAAAAAAAAAGGTCAATGTTTTAATATTTATTTTTATATTTTTGATTTTGAGTTCTTGAGTTTCTCAATACACAAAGTGATTATGACACTTCAGTCAAGCAAACATTAATTTGTTCAGGCATTGAAAATGCTTAAATGTTCCTGTAAATGTATGAATGGAAGAAACACAAGATGACAGGGATGATATATTGCTTATGAATATTTTTTTAATGGAGAAGCTAAAAATCCTTTTTCCCCCTTTTCTTTTTCTCTCTCTTTCTTTTCATTAATATATTGATGTATAATGGTTACAGTTTATAAGTTAATTTGGAAGGTTGGATAGGGTGTATTCACCCCCCCTTTGATATTTTCTTGACGCTTGTCTCCTTTATTTAAATTTCACGGTCTATGAATTGATTGTATTATTATTATTCACATCTCTTTTTGTCAGATCATTCCACTGACCATTGCTAGTTTAAGCTTGGTCGACCTTTCGGAGACGAGTCACGAGCAAATTTTGCTCTCTAGACATTTCAGTTGATCATGTTCCTATAAGCAGTACATTCCAGGAATACTTAATTATAATTATTATTACTACTGACAATGAAAGCAAATTATTAATTTTGGACCCACAAAATGTGCATTTAATATTTTTATTGTGGAATAAAGTAGAATGTTCAGAAGAACAATTTATTTGATCTGAACATAGTATTTGATATGTGAAATGTTTGTAGGTTAAGGAATGTATCAAAATCACACCCAAGCCATTTGAAAAGAGTGAATATTCTTAGAACATTTGACAAAGATTAATGAAAATCTTTCCTGTACATTCTTGTAAATATATTGTGCTGAGAAAGTCAGTGTATGTGTACAATAATACAAATTTGATTTGTGGAGTACATTTTATGAAATTTTTCAAATTTTAATATGCTTATGGAATATAAAAAAATAAACCTGTGACATTACATCATGCCCTCTACCATTTTCCTCCCATTATCCATCATACCTCTCGTTTTTCTCCTGTTATGCATGTTCACTTTTCTTCAGTACATTTGAAGAAAACTAATGTTTCAAAAGAAACTGAATAAATTTTAAATAATATTAATCCTGATCACACTAAGCAAAAAACATTGAAAATATGACCACAAGTAAACTGTTCCAGTAGTAGTATTTAGCTTCACTTATCATTAGGTAAAGTGAATTCCAAATTGCTTTGATAGATTTGTCAAATTTTGATGCAAGTAAAATAAAATTGATATTCATTGCTCTATGAATATGTGTTATTCAATGCTTTGTGAAAAGATCATAAAAATCACGGCATGTTCCTTTGTCTGTTCAGTAATATGTCGAGAGGCAAGGATCAGAAAAGGATGTTTTCTGTTTTATCACCCCTTCTCCTCTATCTCAACCATATCCATTTTTTATTACTACTTTATATACTAAACTTAGCTGAAAATTAGTACTTTTCTACTGAAACACCTATGACTACATTCTATGAGGTCAATAAGTGCCTTGATGAATCTGTCTGTTGTATTAAGCTAAAATAGATTGTGTAAGTAATGTTCTATGTTATATAAAGAGATATATAATCACTCCCCCCCCCCCGCTTGTTTTGATGCAAATAATATCCCTTGAAAATGTTAGACACTTCATTAACATTGTACATGATATGCTATCTACCAACATTTTTATGTTGTTTTCTTCAAATTCTTCATTCAACCAATTTTCATTCACAAATACTGAGGTGCAAAAACTTAGGATGCTTTCTTTGAGTTCCATGAGAAGTGAACTTGAAAGGGAAGGGCTTACCCTCATGCTTTTTACCTTCAAATTGTAGATCCAAGAATTAAGAGTTGCCAAATCTTTTTAGTGTTTGTTGCAGTGTTGACAGAGAGATCCAAACCACTCAGGAAGGTAGAACTCCTCTTACTAGTTTGCTCATTAGTATTATTAAAATGTTTACTCTACATATATAACAACTTTTACTCAGTAGCCAAACTAAAACAATTACAAATGAATTGCTTGGACTAATAAATGCAGGTACGATGGCAGGAGAAATATGGTGTACCCTGATGTAACACAATCTTATCCCAAAATATAAAGTCAGTCTTATTTACTTATGAATTGACTGCCCCCATACAGCCTTGATCATCAAAAAGGAGTGTAATATTTTTCCATCTTTTCATGGATTGACAACAAGTATTAATCCATTTCAAGTGCTAGCATTGAAATTTATGTCAGCACCTATGGCACCTCAGTTCATCCTCCTAAAGTATGTGAAATGAATGAGAAATAATACAAATTTCAAGACTTTTCTGATAAAGTGACATGACTTGCCTGGAGATGAGAAGAAATACTTTGATTATTGAACTGTGGGCATTGTGAAGAATATATATTGAAGCAAAGATGAAAAATGTAAGGCAGTCTCTGAAGTGGAAATGAGTGTTATCAAACCATTAAAGTACTAGTTAATGTTTACAATCAGTGTACCTATTGTGGTCTTCTGATTTACAATGTATCATGTTCATTTCTAATCATACCACATTGGCCTGAATTATTTTTAGAAACCTACATTTTACTGATAAAATACAGAGAGCTGTTCTTACATAGGCAAGAGAGCAGTGTTGTTTACAAGCATGTGTATTTGTTCTGATCTGTAAAATATAAATGTTGGTTGTAGTTACTTAAATTACTGTTTTCTGGCAGTGCATGTTGTGTTCAGCTTTATGGTGTAAGAGACCCTGGAGCTTGCATTTAGAGAAAGCAATTTATGAAAAAGAATGTGAAATTTAATTTAGTTACAGTTTTAATAAAGTATATGTGAAGCAAATTGAGTGACCTCCCATTTGTATGTTGAAAAATGCTTGTATTTGGTTGCATGTTGTGTGAATTTATGAATGGAAAAACAATATTTTATGCGGTAGGTAGTATATTGGAGGGAATTCCATAATGATATTTAAAATATATTTTGATAAAATGCATGTAAATTCAGAGATATGAAAATATTTTATGCTTAATGTGTAAAAATATGTGCATCTGATGTGATTTAGTAATAATAGTAATGGATGGTGAAGTAAGGAAGAGATAGAGAATTGTAGGACATTTAAATTGCCTTTGAATGAAGTCACATTGCAGTTGCATAACAAAAGATGTAGGTCAGAAAGGATTTGTATTTATTTGTCTCGTATGAAAGATATCAGCATGGTGTAGTCCTACAAAACACATAGAGAATAAGAATGGTATTTTCGTTTTGGCATGGCATATTTCTTGTTTTTGTTGGTGTGTTTTTATTTGTAGTACATGTTATATCCTGAACAAAGGACAGCGAACTGCAGGAATGAGTTTGAACGAAAAGATTGAATGGAATTTAACTTTGTATGAATTGATACATTTTCCCCCTGCTCATATCCTCTCTGCTTGATACTCCTCCCCCACACTCTTCTCTCCATTTGTGTGTAATGGTCAGAACAGAAGATATGATTTCATTTCACAGCCATGCTTTCTGGTAAAAATGTAGGTCTACTCTGGACTGCAATCCACATAGGGCCAGGTCACAAGTCTACAAAGTTCTTTGATGAATGTATAATCTGTTCATTTTATTTTATGTAATTCCATGAAGTATTTAATATTCAGCAGTACAGTAAAATATTAAAACTATTTAAATTATGTGAGCAAACTATGTATGTAAGGATACATAGTAATATTAAAAATTCAACTTCCATCATTTAAGTGAAGAATATTGCAAAAATAGGCTTCTGCAGTATTTGATAAACTTTATTGCAACATTTAATTATTCAATAATCATTTTTAATTGTAATAATTAATCTTTCATTTTACCATTCCTTGAGAATTTGGAACATAATTTGTTCATTAAGTCAGTTCATTATTACTGTGTTTGCAATGAAAATCATAATCAGCGTACACTAATGTACGCTTTTATTGGTATTTGCTGCCATGTGAAAATTTCTCCGTTTCAAAGGTTGAAATTTAATTCTTTTCTTCAATGTCTTTCTGACAATAATGGCTTTTTCTGTTGTTTTTTTCTGTTTTTTTTTTTTCTTCTCCTTTTCATCTTCTTTTTTCCTTTGTTTCTTTCTTCTTTGTCTCTTTTTTTCTCCTTTTCTTTTTCCTTCCAATATGTCAAACATGTATTATAGGTATATAAAGTATATATTCATTTTGTTTTCGATGTTCCTATATCTGCACAATTTCTTGTTTTGCATGCCACTTTCTCTGGATATCTGTTTTTAAAATGCATGTCTATTTCTGCCCCCTTTTACATTACCACCTTTCAACACTACAACTTTTGTTTTTCATTCATTTCCCTAATGGCACATTATTCCAGGCATGAATTTTTATGTCATTAATTAATCATTGTAATCACTATCATCTGAAGCATTAACATGGTTTTCATTATAACATGCATTCAACATAAGGGATATACAACAGAGGAGGTAAAAAATTGTAGCCAGACCCAAAACTCGCATTCTATAATTACATAACATCATGATCAAGTGACCTTTTCGAATCTCAAATCACGAACCGTTGGTTTAAATAGGTGTCCAGACAGCTCGTTAATTCACCACTTTTAGAAGG